CCTGGCCCTCCAAGGGGGGGGGGGGCATCTCAAGCAATCAATTTTGAAAATGAATTCAGACAAGGATTAAGAGTCGGAACCGGTATAATAACAAATCGGCTTCTTTCTCCAATAATTTAATGAAGTTCTTGTTCTTGTTTCTTGTTCTTGTTTCTTTTTTTTCCTGTAGGTGTGGTTTTAGGGGTAGGCTTTTATATAAGGAATTCCTCCTTTCTGCCTATCCCAAATGCTCTTATAAATTGCCATTGTTATCACTTTCTTGTTTTTTTTATTATTCCATCCTGTATTTGTATGTTTTAAATGTTTTTATGAAGAGTGTTGAATAGATTTTGAATTTGAAGTGTCAAAGCTTCCGTGCTTCGCGCGGAAGAGGGGGGAAACTGAATTCAGACAAGAACACGATACAACGAATCGTGTTCTTTCTCTAATAATGTAATGAAACGTGAAAGCTTCCGCGCTTCGCGCGGGATGGGCGAAATGAAATCAGACAAGGATTAAGAGTAATAGTTTAATGAAACGTCAGAGTTTCCGCGCTTCATGCGAGATGGGCGAAAATGAATTCAGACAAGGATTAAGAGTCGGAACCGGTACAATGAATCGTCTTCTTTCTCTAATTTAATGAAACGTGAAAGCTTCCGCGCTTCGCGCGGGATGGGCGAAAATGAATTCAGACAAGGATTAAGAGTAATAATTTACTGAAACGTCAAAACTGCCGCGCTTTGTGCGGGAGGTGGGAGGGGGGGGGGGGGAACAGGATCCAAACAAGAATTAAGAGTCGAGAACGGTACAACGGATCGTCTTCTTTCTCTAATAATTTAATGAAGTGTCAAAGTTTCCCCGCTTTGCGCGGGAGGGGGGAGACTGAAAAATAACTTAATTCCCGTCCCTGGGTTTATAATTTGTAGACATTTGGACATTGGCATTTATATATTTGTCGGTATATTTGTTGCTCGTTTTGTCGGTAATCGCGTGCCTCTATATACACCCTCCCCACTCCCCCACTGACACAGATCTAGCGACGCCCCTGATAACGAAACAGTTTATACACTCGAGAAATGTTTTGCAAGTACTACTGATGAAGTACCGGACCACCGTCTTTGTGCATTGTGCGGCATCAAAGCATATACAACGTCTCAAGACGTGACAGATCACTTTTCTCCAACTTCGAGCGGATAGTTGACCCTCCGCATCGCCTGAACGATGGGGCTGGACAAGCGGAGAGTGCACGGTCTTTCCTGTCGCATCACATTGGGCGCTCGATCGTTTGAAGTTTTAGAGGTTGGCGATGTTTTAAACATCGTTATTCTTGAATTTGCATGGCTACAGCTATCAAAGATATATAGCCTAAACAATCTCCTTTCCAAATATTAAAATCCATCTATCGAGCGTTCGAGCTGTTGGCCAACATCCGGGCCAACATTTTCCTGATCGAGGTGGAATCATCAGCTGGGGTAGGCTTGTAATCTGAGATGAACAAATTAACAAGTTACGGACCGGTCCGTGCACGTACACTTGGATGATAATGTACTGAATCAATGGAAAGTGAAACAAAATCTAGTCCCGGTGCAGTGCTAGTGAGGAAGGAGGCAAGTGATTCTTATTTTGACGATAGGCCTAAACTATTCTTTGCGACCGACCCCAAAATGTTTAAAAAATAAGTTTTAAAAAAAGCATTAAAAACTGAAAAATATCAGCCCAAGAGGGGGGGGGGGGGGGGGGATCAGGAGCGTACATAAGGGGGGGGGGGGTTAAACCCCCCTTTGGTATTTTTTTGTATGTAAACCCCCCCCCCCTAACCCCCCTAACCCCCCCCCCTTTGGATTTTTAAAAATTTTATTTATTTAAAAAAAAAAAATTCCCATGGCTGACCTAAAAAAGCTGACCTTACCCCCCCCCCCCCCCCCAAGGGAGCAAAATGTCAAATTTTCAAATTTCGAGACCCCCCCCCCCCCCCCCCCGCTTATTCAGCGGTCGGCTGAGTCGTTGCGATTTTTTTTGGGACCAAAAAAAAAAGTGACCTCTTCCCCCCCCCCCCCCCCCCCCCTTTAAAATATCCTGCGTACGCGCCAGGGGGGATATAGATTTCCGACCGACCGACCCATGTTTTGGCAATACAACTAGGTCTAATGTTGTAGAAGTGAACAGAACAGGGCGTAACAAGCCTTTGTATAAGTTGGAGGGGTGAGGGTAATAGGTGAGCAACCAATTAACAGGCATTTTTTAAATTCAATTCTAAAACTAAGAAGAAAAATCAGAGAAGCAGACTAGGGAAAGTATGAACGAATACTGAGAACAAAATGAAAAATTAAGAAATTTTGAGAGTTGAATAATCACAATTAGGGGTTAACTCATCGTTTTTGCCCCAAAAGTGAAAATTTCCCCTTTGTTTATTTGGTAAAAATAATTATCCCGGAACATCATTAGCTTGGTAAATCCCCAATTATAATAGTCCCCTCTAGGGGCGTTTTAGCATATTTGGGAAAATGTGGAGGGAAAAAAACATCAATTTTTTTGCCAAAATGGCAAGGGGTAAGCTCCAGGGCGGATCCAGCCGGCGGCAGGGGAGGGGGCCCAATATTTAGCGGCGAAATAGGCAGCCGGTGAATAAGCGGGGGGGGGGGGGGGGTAGTGAGCACTGACGTGTTTTTAACTGTATTTTCCCCAGTCCCCCCCCCCCCCCCTGGATCCGTCACTGGTTAGTTCATCGTTTTTGCCAAACAGGGACAATTTTCTCCTTTGTTTATTTGGTCTGAATGAACATCCCGGCACATCATTAGCTTGGTCTTGGGGTCTTAGCATATTTGGGAAAATGTGGAGATTCATAAAATTTGACCAAAATGCCAAAGGGGTTAGCTCATCGTTTTTGCCCATTGGCTCATTATCATTGTATCTTGTAATTATGTATGCTTACATGCATTTCAGTGCTAGCCATTCACACCCTATTTCGAACCCCCTTTTCTCTCTCTCTCTCTCTCTCTCTTTATCTCCCGTTCATATTTTCTTCCCTTAATACCTTTCATTTTCAATGCTATGTAGCCTAAAACATTCACCACTGGTTCATTATTATCAATGTATTGTTTGCACGATCATCATCACCATCATCATCATCACCATCATCACCATCATCATAATCACCATCATCACCATCATCATCACCATCATCATCACCATCATCATCACCATCTCACAATCATCACCATCATCATCATCATCATCACCATCATCACCATCATCATCACCATCATCATCTTCATCACCATCATCATCACCATCATCACCATCATCATCATTATCATCGCCATCATCATCTTCTTCATTATTCTATTCATACAAATTTCAAAACCTTGTTCTTCAAGCATGATTATCATAATCTGATAATTTTCTCCTCATATAACGACTTTTCAACCAGAAAACAAGATGGGGTGAGAAAAATGTAAACATTACAGGTAATATATAGATGATTAAATTTATTTTCAACAGCAATTAAGATCGTAAGAAGTTACATGCGATATAAATATTCCATTATAAAGAAAATACTATCATGAATGCACTTAAATTTGCATAGTTAAGTTGTTTCAACCGTACAGTAGCATGTACACTAAGAAGACTAAGGATTGTTCAACTTCCCATCTCCAAAATAAAAGTACAACTCTGCACCTTCAACCAATGGACGGAATATATATATATATATATATTGATACAAAATAATGCTTATATCTTAAACATTTCATCTTCTAACATTACATGGTGTACAAAACTGGAAAGAAAGAAAGAAGTCAAAAGAAACAATTAATTCCTCTTCCGTTCCCTCAAAGTTAACATACTTTTTTCGTATTCCTCTCTTGAAAAAAGTAAATCTATCAATGAATTACATTTCTCATGAAAGACTTTTTTGACAGGTCAAAGGAGTGTGTTAAAGTATGCCACCTTTGCAACAATATCACATATCAAATTTTGCCCAGAGGACCACAATAAGGGGCACATTTTATTCTTTCTACTTAATAGTTATTCACATGTAAGATATACCAATATTAATTTTGGCAGGGTGTGCTCCCTGTGCCTATCACTGAGTAAAATAGAAATGTCAATAATCATATCCACTTAACACAAATTCTTAAGTTGTAAAATATGTCCAATATACATGAACTTTGGCAAGATAACATATCAAAGTAAAAGAAAGTCCCATTAAAGAGCTTAATCACAAGTTGAACATGTTTCTCAACACCTCTAGAATTAGTCTAAATGACTGCTGATTGTTTAAAATAAATTAAAGGTAAAGACCAGTATTGGAAACGCCCCAATTTCAAAAAATGAAATGGAAGCTCTCATTACCAATCATGTGAAAGAATATGTTTCAACTAATACATGATAAAAAATTTGCCGGAAACCGCCTACTAATTCATATATTTGGTAAATTTATTTCTCTCATGGTCTTTGAGAGATATAGGGTAGTCCCATATACATCTTTCTGTGTATAGTGCTTGTAACTTTACAAAGAATGGGCCAAATTTCTTATCATTTTGATGATTCCAGAACCTTGCAGATGCTAGATGCTAGATGATCAACCTTTTCTGATCGATTCCACAACGTTTCTTTCACAATGCAATCGCATGACCATAACTGGTCTTTACCTTTAAGGTCTAGATGTATGAAGATTCTGAGATAAGAAGAAATTTGATTCAAGTGAATGCAGGAAACAAATCGAGACGTGTAGAGATGACGTTGTCATATTTACGTGTTGACTCGATGAGTACAGTTTTAGAAGTGTGTTTTTGAAGAGAGAAGCAATGATAAAGAAGAACATGTTTAATTGTTCCTTCTTTTGGAGCAAGAGGAAGACAAAGATAGTGCTGATAGAGTGAGTTATTAGTGAGTGCAGTGCACAGGGCCTTTATTTAAGCCGAACACTTGTTGATGAATAGCATGGCAATGTCCTCCCAAATTAGTTTTGTAAAGTTGAGAAATGAAGAAGGATGAAATGAGGAAAATACAAGAGATCCATGACAATTGATCATGTTGATGACAATCCATTCATTCCCATGCTCAGGCAGAAGCAGGTGGTGGTAACCCCTCCCTAAAAAAAAAATGAAATGAAATGGGGGCCGGAAAAAAAAGGGGGAGGGTTTAGTTTGAAGAGGAACATGTAATTAATGATTGGTCTGAGAAGCAAGGCACGTTTTAAGGGGAGGGGGGGGGGGGGGGGGGGTAGGCATTGTCAAAGCTAACTGTTGCCCCCATTATTATAGGGTCCTTGTTATCCTACACTCCTAGCTACACTTCTTTTAAGTAATATGTGAGATTGTACTGTTTAACATGTTGTTGTTTATCTTTTCTCTCGACAGCCTTTTCAAGTGTTCAGGTTCTGAGTGTGCCAATTCTACAACCAATTCACTAGGAGGACATCTACCAACCCATCAGGAGAACTCTGCACATCGTTTTTTCTTCTTTTTTGCTTTCCTTTCCAAGCTCTCTTTTATACAGGTAGATAGTTCTACAGTTTCCATGATGTCAGCACGCAAAATGATATCAAGGCTCGTGGCTAGAGACAGGAAGACATTGGAGGAGGAGACACTTTCCAGAGGGAGCAAGTCTGGACCCGAGCCCCAATCATTTCGAGCAAAAAACCCAACAAGGGAGATGTAAGACCAGGTACGTACTACATAGAAGTTGAATGAGTGGCATTATGAAGGTGATCATTGAGTCTCTATAAAATTAAAATGGTATGAATTGTCATAGGAAACTGCAACTTCTCATTGGATACTGTCATATACAGAAAAGTGCATATGTTTGTTTATATACATATAACATATATATTGTCATTTATCAAGAGAAGTCATACATTTATTTGTTTTATAAACATTTTAATTAGAAATCAATCTGTTGGACATTAAAAGTTGTGATCATGATTAAAATTCCAGCTTCAAATTCATTCGTGATGTCATGAAGGGCAACATGATATATTATTTTTTTTTTTAAACTCTAGTTGAATATGAAGTTGTTATTTTAATTTTTTTTTTTTCTCTCTTCAGGAGTAAACACCCCTCGTTTCCGGTGCCGTCAAGAAGGGGAACTGGAACTGGTAGCTTTCAAAGAGGCGAGAGTGGTGAAGTCGAGTAGGAGAGCGACTGCGGCTGCCAAAGCTGACATCATCGTGCACCGTGAGGCCGTTCAATGCATGCGAAGAGAGGGAGGCGATCCAGCCGACAAGGTGGCCGTTCTGGGGAGCTTCGAGCTTCAGTTTGGCCAGTACTAGGGGTCAACCTTCAAGTGGCTCCTCGAAAACGACCTAGGCTACGCAACGTTTATCGTCAACAGCCTGGTATGTGAGAGGCGTTCGGACAAGCCACTCAGCATGAGCAAGTTCAACTTCAAAGACCACATTGAGCTGTTCAAGGAGGGAAAGAACGCATTGCAGCTGAAGGCAAGGAAGGACACGGAGCAGCAGAAAGCCCTAGCCAAAGCAACACCAGTCGCTTCAACAGCAGCTCCAAATGCGAGTGCTGTGTGTAGGCTTCATACTGTTCTGAAGCCTTCTAGCGCAGTATCTAAGCCGCCTCCAGGTGATTTTAATCATTTTATATTTCTTCATACCTTACACATGTATGCATTTAAATATTCATTCCTGTAAGAGATTTAGACTGATCGAGAGTTTTCAATTAATTAACCTCCATTTCTCCCTCTCAATTTCATAAAATACTTCACTTTTAATAGTGTGGAAATATGTTCGACCTCTAATGAAAAATGTTCAGCAGTTAGTATATATATATATATATTTATTTATACATATATATGTATATATATATATATATATATATATATATTTATTGCTCTTTTGTATTCCCAATAATGCATTCACTAATCCATCCTTTGTTTTTTCTATTTCTCGATAGTGTCTTATGAAGAGATAACAGACGCTGAACTCCAAGCAGACTCTGATCTCATGGAGACCCTGGCAGTTTGCTCTCTTAAAGATGATTCAGGTAATGAAAATGTTTACATTTTTTTCTTCAGAAGACTATATGAATTATTAGACCATTAACATTCCAGCACTTGAGGCATATTGATTGTTTGTCATGACACATGAAAGAAAAAGAAGTGAAAATAAATTCATGATTCATTTCTGTTTTTCAAACTTTGTTATTTCATGTTTTTTTACATAGAATTTGTTTCTTGACCACAAAGGTTCATTTTCATATTTTTCTATTCCTCTTGTATATGCTTTGCCTCCTCTAGAATTATGCACCCTCAAGGATGGATGGAGAGCCACCCTGCCAAAGACCGATCACCAGTGGGTGTCTCGGGCCCTGTTTCACCGTTCAACTAAGGGAAGTTTAAAGTGGACTACAGCAAAGTAAACAGGCTCTGGTACTATCCTCGCCAAACTCCACTGATCTGCAGCCAACCTCCAAAGATGGCGCAGTATTTCACCAGACGACTTCTGCTGTGGATGCCCCGGAAGCTTTGGGCCGTCAAGCTTCTGTGCCCGACTGCAACATGCGCTGGACAGGAACTGACATCAGCAGGGATGCACACCATAGTCAGTCACGTTCTGGACATCGACGGTTGGTACATGGCTTCCGAGTACCTGGAGTGCAAGACATGCAAGAAGTACATCAGCTGGAGCAATGAGATCCTGAAGCAGCTTGACATTGGTCACCGAGTGCAGTTTCCAGCAGTTCTCACGTACCGCTATACCTGTGACCTGAGGTAGTGAGGCTTCTTCGAATGCGGGGTGTAGGGAATAGCTCTCACCTACTCCGCCGCAAACTGGTAGAACAGCACAGCGAGGCGTGGCTTCACAAGACTGCATGTTACCTGACAGACTGCCAGACGTTTCACCAGGCCAGCAGCAGAGGGCTGGTAAACAGACCCACTTTTGAGAAGCCAGTGGAGATGCCAAACTACCAACCACGGCATGGCTTCTTACTGTCTTCTGCAGCGACGTCTTGTCTTGGATAGAAGAGGTGAAGGCTTCCATATCACCTCCATCTTCGGCAGGGTGCTGAAATAGGATTCCATGAAGAAGGTGAGTACATTTAAAATCATTTTCGCAGTGTTTGAAAAATTTAATCAAATTGTGTGTTTTTTTTGGCAGAAAACAAGAAACTTTTCATCTTTAAACTGCCATATTTTGTCCAATATATATATATATATATATGTTACATCCAGGCACCTAGATCCAAGATATGCATTTGAGATGATTTTTCCAAAACTACATTTTGCACTTTTCTATTTTTTAATAGGAAAATTTATTATCAATGTTTATTCCCATGTTCTAACACAGATGGTGAAGAAAATGGCTGGCCATGCAGACAAGACAGCAGCCTGGGTCACAAACGTTGGGAACGAGTACGGGCAGGTGCTGATGTCGGTGCTCACAGAAGGAGAAGGAGATAGCCTTGACCTCATGCTACTAGGTATCATCCGTCGCTACGCAGATGCGGGTGTCGCACCTTAGCTGCTCTACGTGGACAGAGACTGCTGCAATACCAATTCCTGGCTGCAAAGGAAGTTTGAAGCCTGGCCAGACATGACGATTCGATTAGACATCTGGCATCTGATGCGAAGGCTTGCTACCGGGTGCTCGACAGACTCCCATCAACTCTACAGCGTCTTTCTCGGTCGGCTGTCGGCCTGCATCTTCGAGTGGAGTGGGGAGGACCTCAGGCTCCTCATGGAGGCAAAGAGAGCAGTACTCGTTGGACAGCACATCTTTAATCCAACAGACCAGGATGTCATCTCCAGCATCTCACCGAAGGAGATGGCACAACACTGCAGGAGGAAGACCAGGGGAGCCGAAGAGACCACATGGCTCATCAGAGATCTGATTGCAGCCCTGGACAGAGAGCAGGGACTCGACACCCTTCGAGTGCCCCTGTTCGACCATGACCGCATCTGGCACGAGTGGGACAAGCAGAAGAACCACATGGAATGCATCCACGATCCAGATGACATCAGTCTCTACACCAAGATAGGCGAGATGGTCAAAGGCGGGGTCAGTCTCCTGGTCTTCAGGTGTGCGAGGGGATCAACCTCATTGGAGTCTTTCCACTTGCACATCAATTCCTTCATTCCAGGTAAGCATAATTGAATACTAGACTGAATCATTTAATTCTCATTATTAACAACTACAATGTTAAATATAATTCATGAAAGTTACAGTTTTAATACAAGCAACACTTCCAGAATGTTAAGAGTTAAAAATATGTAATATTACACCATCTATATATAATTGTTAATTGCTATCTCAAATTGTAATGAATGCAATAATAATAACATTCTTCCTTATCTTCCTTGTTTTCTTAAACAGGAACTCGTGCGAGTGGCGTCCACTTCCAAGCCTACCTATTGGAAGGAGTATCTAGCTGGAATCAAGACCGCAGCACAAGCCATAAGCATAAGGGGCAGCGGACCCCGTGTGAACACCTACAGTGGTCTGCTGCGACATGCAGTCAACGTTCTTGCGGAGGAAATTCTTCACATGAAGATCGACCCATCCTTTGTTGCCCCCCAGGAGTACACAGGTAGATTTTGATACATTTCCCATTCTTGCAGAAATGGTGAATAAAGCATCAAAATTTAAACAACAAATTATCTGTGATGTAATCATTAGATCAAATGGGGAGCTCTAAAAATATGTCATTTTGTTTTATTTTTACTTATGTGGCAATGAATGAACGAATGAATATAATATTTCATTGCCTTTCGGTTGTTTGCAGTAAATATAGATATATGTATTTATATATTTATTTTAAATTACTCCGTAGGAGAACTCATCAGAGTGGAGTACCTCTATGCTCAGACAAATGCAGTTCTGGGGCTCACAGAGCCAGAATGCATGGAGGAAGCTGTCGTAGTAGACGAGGACTTTGATGAAGGATTTGAGGATGCGAGTGAGGTAGAGGATCTCACACAACCTGGGATCTCTGCTACATCGGCAAGCACCCGCCATTCTGTCAGAGCAGCACCTCCTGAAGATCAACAGACATCTTCACTCGGTAAGTCCTGACTCTAAGTGAATTACAATCTTTAAAAACTGTTTCTAGGGAAACGCACTGAAAGGAAATGAGAATGGTAGTAAAGTGTCTAGAATTTATCTCTTGCAATATTGCCTAATTTATAGAACACATTTAAGTATGATTACGTCTATGCTCATGTATATGTATATACCTAAAAACAAATTCAATGATGTATTTCAGTATATAGTATAACAATAAGCTTCTTCTTTTCATTTCTTTAATGCAGAACACAATGTCAGGAAAAGACCTTACGGAGTCAACCCAGCGATGGAGACTGCTGGAGCATCTTTGGATTCCATCATGGATGAAAGTAGTTCAAGATGTCGCCATCGACAGAAAGTCGCCCCAACCCCCAGGGTAGCCACAACGGCACCCAAAGTCTTTATCGCAATTCCAACGGGTACACCACCTCCACCACCACCACTTCCACGATTCTTCACCCCGAGGGGGGCCGCTCTAGCAGTGCAAAGTGGGGCTACACCATCACCAGCAGAAGAGGTCGAGAGACACACCCCTGTAGGACCAATGGAGACTACTACACCATCACCAGCAGAAAAACAAAGAAGTACAAGCCAAGAACCAGGGGGACCACTTGCTGAAAGTGCTAGAAGCTTCGAGACAACACCACACAAAGTCAGTACTACGTAGTGTGGTTTTGTGAAGAGACTGCAACGGAATCGAAGGAACAGTGGTTAAGGAGTCAAGAAGAGAGGAGACGAGCAAAGAAAGAAGAGAAGGCAGTAGCAGAAGCTATAAGAAGATATAAACCATTGTTTTTAAATTATAAACGTGCCATCATTCAGCTGCAGTAGTGAAATTAGCAAAGACAAGAAAGTGATGCTGGAAATGTCTTGAGATTCATGTGATTGGACCAGTTCTACAGTTTCCACGATGTCAGCACGCAAAAGGATATCAAGGCTCGTGGCTAGAGACAGGAAGACGTTGGAGGAGACACTTTCTGCAGGGAGTAAGTCTGGACTCGAAGCCCCAATCAGTTCGAGCAAGAAACCCAACAAGGGAGATGTAAAACCAGGTACGTACTACATAGAAGTTGAATGAGTGGCATTATGAAGGTGATCATTGAGTCTCTATAAAATTGAAATTATATGAATAGTCATAGTAACTGCAACTTCTCATTGGATACTGTCATATATAGAAGAGGTGAAGGCTTCCATCACCTCCATCTTCGGCAGGGTGCTGAAATTGGATTCCACAAAGAAGGTGATTACATTTAAAATCATTTTTCCAGTGTTTGAAAAATTTGTTTCAAATTGTATTTTTTTTTGCAGAAAACAAGAAACTTCATCTTTAAACTGTAACATTTTCTACAATGTATATGTTACATCCAGGCACCTAGATCCAAGATACGCATTTTTCTATTTTTTAATAGGAAAATTTATTATTAATGTTTCTTCCCATGTTCTAACACAGATGGTGAAGAAACTGGCTGGCCATGCAGACAAGACAGCAGCCTGGGTCACAAACGTTGGGAACGAGTACGTGCAGGTACTGATGTCGGTGCTCACAGAAGGAGATAGCCTTGACCTCATGCTACAAGGTATCATCCGTCGCTACGCAGATACGGGTGTCGAACCTCCTGAGCTGCTCTTCGTTGACAGAGACTGCTGCAATACCAATTCCAATACTTCATTGCCTTTCGGTTGTTTGCAGTAAATATAGATGTATGTATGTATGTATTTTAAATTACTTTGTAGGAGAACTCATCGGAGTGGAGTACCTCTATGCTCAGACGATTGCAGTTCTGGAGGAATCACAGAGCCAGAATGCATGGAAGAAGCTGTCGTAGACGAGGAGGATTTCAGGATGCGAGCGAGGTAGAGGATCTCACACAACCTGGGATCTCTGCTACATCGGCAAGCACCCGTCATTCCGTCAGAGCAGCACCTCCTGAAGATCAACAGACATCTTCACTCAGTAAGTCCTGACTCTAAGTGAATTACAATCTTTAAAAACTGTTTCTAAGAAAAAGCACTGAAAGGAAATGAGAATGGTGGTAAAGTGTCTAGAATTTATATCTTGCAATATTGCTGAATTTATAGAACACATATGATTACGTCTATGCTCATGTATATGTATATACCTAAAATTAAATTCAATGATGTATTTCAGTATATAGTATAACAATAAACTTCTTCTTTTCATTTCTTTAATGCAGAACACGATGTCAGGAAAAGACCTCACAGAGTCTACCGAGCAATGCAGACTACTCGAGCATCGTCAGACTCCATCATGGATAAAAGTAGTCCAAGATGTCGTCATCTCACCGTCTCAGTTAGAGACATCTCCCCACGGCGACGGAAAGTCACCCCGACCCCCAGGGGAGCCACAACGGCACCCAAAGTCTTCATCGCAATTCCAACGGGTACACCACCTCCACCACCACCACTTCCACGATTCTTCACCCCGAGGGGGGCCGCTCTCTAGCAGAGCTAAGTGAGGCTACACCATCACCAGCAGAAGAGGTCAAGAGACACACCCCTGTAGGACCAATGGAGACTACTACACCATCACCAGCAGAAAAACAAAGAAGTACAAGCCAAGAACCAGGGGGACCACTTGCGGAAAGTGCAAGAAGCTACTAGACAACACCACACAAAGTCAGTACTACGGAGTGTGGTTTTGTGAAGAGACTGCAACGGAATCGAAGGAACAGTGGTTAAGGAGTCAAGAAGAGAGGAGACGAGCAAAGAAAGAAGAGAAGGCAGTAGCAGAAGCTATAAGAAGATATAAACCATTTTTTTAAATTATAAACGTGCCATCATTCAGCTGCAGTAGTGAAATTAGCAAAGACAAGAAAGTAATGCTGGAAATGTATTGAGATACATGTGATTGGACCAGTTCTACAGTTTCCACGATGTCAGCACGCAAAAGGATATCAAGGCTCGTGGCTAGAGACAGGAAGACATTGGAGGAGACACTTTCTGCAGGGAGCAAGTCTGGACTCAAAGCCCCAATCAGTTCGAGCAAGAAACCCAACAAGGGAGATGTAAAACCAGGTACGTACTACATAGAAGTTGAATGAGTGGCATTATGAAAGTGATCATTGAGTCTCTATAAAATTGAAATTATATGAATAGTCATAGTAACTGCAACTTCTCATTGGATACTGTCATATATAGAAGAGGTGAAGGCTTCCATCACCTCCATCTTCGACAGGGTGCTGAAATTGGCTTCCACGAAGAAGGTGATTACATTTAAAATCATTTTCCCAGTGTTTGAAAAATTTGAATTAAATTGTGTGTTTTTTTTGCAGAAAACACGAAACTTTTCATCTTTAAACTGTAACATTTTCTCCAATATATATGTTACATCCAGGCACATAGATCCAAGATATGCATTTGAGATAATTTTTCCAAAAATACATTTTGCACTTTTCTATTTTTTAATAGGAAAATTTATTATTAATGTTTCTTCCCATGTTCTAACACAGATGGTGAAGAAACTGGCTGGCCATGCAGACAAGACAGCAGCCTGGGTCACAAACGTTGGGAACGAGTACGGGCAGGTGCTGATGTCGGTGCTCACAGAAGGAGAAGGAGATAGCCTTGACCTCATGCTACTAGGTATCATCCGTCGCTACGCAGATGCGGGTGTCGCACCTCCAGAGCTGCTCTACGTGGACAGAGACTGCTGCAATACCAATTCCCGGCTGCGAAGGAAGTTCGAAGCCTTGCAAGACATGACGATTCGATCGGACATCTGGCATCGGATGCGAAGGCTTGCCACTGGCTGCTCGACAGACTCCCATCAACTCTACAATGACCATCGTCGAGTAAGCACGCTCTTTTCACCGCCTCTCCCCCTTCCGTATCTTCCGCGTATCTTCCGCGTATCTTCCGCGTTATGTCGAAAGCAACCAAAGCAGCCAAGAGGCCACGCGTTGAGACGCCGCCCAGCCCAACCGATACAAGCGCTCTAATACCAGTGATACGAAGACTTTTAGATGCCCAAATGGAAAAATTCGAGAGTCGATTCAAGAACTTTGAAAGCTCGTTATTTACTAAAATTAAAGAGTTGGACAATGACCTTAATGACATTAGAGCTATGCTGGAGTTTCAAAGCCACGAAACAGACCAGCTAAAAGTAAAAATGGCTGACATGGAAACAAACTTTAAACGAAAAGACGAGGAACTTCGAGAGGAAGTCGACAGATTAGCTACGTATGTTGCTAGAGAGAATTTAGTCATCTTGGGATTGAAAGAAGTGAAGGACGAAAATCTCTCCAGCGAGCTGAGTAAATTGTACAAAGATAAGCTAAAAATGGAGGACGATGTTATACAACGAATTGAGTACCAGAGAGTACACAGGGTGGCTGCAGCGGGTGGGGGACCCCGCCCTATTAAAGCGCGATTTACTCGATATGCGGACAAACTCTTGGTGCAGAAAAACGCCAAACTTCTCAAAGGCTCCGACATTTATTTGGCGGATGACCTACCTAAGCATGTGAGGGAGCTAAGGAGGGTGCAGGTACCTACCCTAAAAGCAGCCCAGAGCGCAGGGAAACTAGCGTTTTTTGGTCGTGCGGAGCCAACGAAGCTTTTCGTAGACCATGTCCTAGTTCCAATCGGGGAACAGAAGAGCCTTATAAACAAATTGGAGAAGAGCGCTATTGGAGTTCAAGTCAAGGTGGGGCATACGGCAGCGATCAATGTCCGGGACAACAAGGAAAACGAGGAAACGAAACTGACCGAGCAGGCTGAAGGAAATGTTCTACGAAACCGAGAGGAACAGAGGGAAACGAATGTGACAGGAAATCCTATCAGAGGAGCGGAGGCGCCAATAGAGGTGATGGACACAAGGATGTAACGACCAAGGGAAACATCATTGCAGCGACCAACGTCAGTGGTGACAGGAAGGAGCATGAAGACAAGAAACAGAGGGAGAATAACCGTTTAAGATAAGTAAAAATTCCATATTGATTATTTCAAAAACCAATGTGAGCTGAAATGAGGATGGAGATGGAAACAGAAGGAAAACAGCCATCAAGATGAATGAAATCTATTATTAAATATTTGAGCAGCCAATATGATCTGAAATGGAAACGAAAAAGAGAAGAAGAAGCAAGCAGCTGAACTTAACAATGCATTTGAAAAAAAAAAGAACAACAATAATACCAAATATCTCATTCGGTATTTATGAAGAAGAAAACTTTTAAGAAAAGAAAGACTTTAATGAGATGTTCGAAAATAATTATATTTTGGCTATAGTATGTAGAGCAGAAATGGTTTATTGATAAATGCAAGAGATGCGTTAATGTTATGCTTTGTAATGGATAAGAAAAGACCAAAATTCTAATTTCGATGGTATCCGACTCATTTGAAACATTGAGTAATTTGAAGATAATATTGCCAAGGGCTAATTCATTCTGATGAAAAGAAAAGAAAGAAAGAAAAGGTGAGGTTCGAATATAAGTATGAACTTTGGTTTTTATTATTTTGCAAAAAAAAAAAAAAAAAGTTATGCCATACAAGATTTCTAATGGATGTTTGGAAGGAAAGACTTTAATGAGATGTTCAAAAAATAATCATATTTAGGCTAACTAGTATGTCGAGCAGAGTAGTTAGGAAACATAAAAAGAAAGACTTCAATGAGATGTTTCAAATATAATTTAATTTTGGATACCTAGGTTCGAACACAAGCATGAACTTTGATATTCATTATTTTGCAGGAAAGGTTATGAAGAAGAGAACTGTTAAGAAAAGGAAAGACTTTAATGAGATGTTCAAAATAATTATATTTTGGTTAACTAGTATACAGTAGTAATGGTTCATTGATGAATGCAAGAGATGCGTTAATGTTATGCTTTGTAATGGTTAAGTAAGAAAAGACCAAATTCTTTTCTATGGTATCCGACTCATTTGAAACATTGAGTAATTTGAAGATAATATTGCCAAGGGCTAATTCATTCTGATGAAAGAAAAGAAGGAAAAAAAGTGAGGTTCGAATAAAAGTATGAACCTTGGTTTTTATTATTTTGCAGAAAAGGTCATGCCATACAAGTTTTCTAACGGATATTTGGTAGTTAGGAAACATAAAAAGAAAGACTTCAATGAGATGTTTCAAATATAATTATATTTTTGGATACCTAGGTTCGAATACACGCATGAAATTTGATATTCATTATTTTGCAGAAAAGGTTATGAAGAAGAGAACTGTTAAGAAAAGGAAAGATTTTAATGAGATGTTCAAAATAATTATATTTGGGCTAACTAGTATGTAGAGCAGAAATGGTTCATTGATGAATGCAAGAGATGCGTTAATGTTATGCTTTGTAATGGTTAAGTAAGAAAAGACCAAAGTTCTTTTCGGTGGTATCCGACTCATTTGAAACATTGAGTAATTTGAAGATAATATTGCGAAGGGCTAATTCATTCTGATGAAAAGAAAAGACAAAAAATGAGGTTCGAATAAAAGTATGAACCTTGGTTTTTATTATTTTGCAGAAAAGGTCATGCCATACAAGTTTTCTAACGGATATTTGGTAGTTAGGAAACATAAAAAGAAAAACTTTATGAGATGTTTCAAATATAATTATATTCTTGGATACCTAGAATATAGAGGAAAAAAAGCGGTTTATTAATGAATGCAAGAGATGTGTCAATGTTATGCTTTGTTTAGGATAAGCAAGAAGTAAACCACAATTCATTTCGATGGTATCTGACCTATTTGAAACATTGGGTAATATGACAAAAATATTGCCAAGGGTTATTTTACTCTGATGGAGGGGGGGGGGGGGGGGAAGCGAGAATAGGAGGTTCGAATACAAGCATGATCTTTTATATTTATCATTTTGATGAAAAGGTTAAGCCATACAAGGTTTCTAATGGATGTTTTGGTTAATACCATTATGCACACTGTCATCCATTTATAGAATTGGTTACGTCATCTAAGATGTCTAATGATTGTTTTGGTTTAAGGAAGGTCTTCTGTATTAAGAGAGAGTTTTATGTTTATACGATTAAAGAATGCCTGGGATTGATTAGTATTGGTTGGTATTTTGACCCATAGGAATCTTGAGATCTTTTATATTGAGAGCATGTATAGACAATTAAAGAATGCCCGGGAATCTTGAGTAGTCAGGTTTGAAGATTTATTGCCAAGGGTTTTTCCATTTAAATGAAGGAAAATAAAAGAAAGAAAAGAAAGGTTTCATTGTGATGGTCGAAGTACTAGCATGAATAGTGACATACATGTAAATTCATAGATTTGGTTACTTCATACAAAGGTCTAATGATTGTTTTGGTCTGTAAAGATCTTTTATATTAAGGGTGTGTCTTAGACGATGAAAGAATACCCGGGATTCAATAGAATAGTTAGGTCTCTTGACCCATAGAAATCTTGATGTATTTTATATTAAGAGCATGTATTATGTTTAGACAATTAAAGAATGCCCGGGATTGAAAAAAAAAAAAAACACACAAAAAAAAACTCTACAGCGTCTTCCTCGGTCGGCTGTCGGCCTGCATCTTCGAGTGGAGTGGGGAGGACCTCAGGCTCCTCATGGAGGCAAAGAGAGCGGTACTCGATGGACAGCACATCTTGAATCCAACAGACCAGTATGTCATCTCCAGCATCTCACAGAAGGAGATGGCCCGACACTGCAAGAGGAAGACCAGGGGAGCCGAAGAGACCACACGGCTCATTGGAGACCTGATTGAAGCCCTGGACAGAGAGCAGGGACTCGACACCATTGGAGTGCCCCTGTTCGACCATGATCGCATCTGGCACGAGTGGGACAAGCAGAACCACATGGAATGCATCCACGGTCCAGATGACATCAATCTCTGCACCAAGATATGCGAGATGGTCAAAGGCGGAGTCACTCTCCCGGTCTTCAGGTGTGCGAGGGGATCAACCTCATGAGAGTCTTTCCACTTGCACATCAATACCTTCATTCCAGGTAAGCATAATTGAATACTAGATTGAATCATTTAATTCTCATTATTAACAACTCCAATGTTAAATATAATTCATGACAGTTTTAATACAAGCAACACTTCCAGAATGTTAAGCAAGAGTTAACAATATGTAATATTACACCATTTATATATAATTGTTAATTGCTATCTCAAATTGTAATGAATGCAATAATAATTACATTCTTCCTTATGTTCCTTCTTCTCTTAAACAGGAACTCGTGCGAGTGGCGTCCGCTTCCAAGCCTCCCTATTGGAAGAAGTATCTCGCTGGAATCAAGACCGGGCAGCACAAGCCGTAAACGTAAGGGCAGCGGACCCCGTGTGAACACCTACAGTGGTCTGCTGCGACATGCAGCCAACGTTCTTGGGAAATTTTTCACATGAAGATCGACCCATCCTTTGTTGCCCCCCCCCCCCCCCCCCCCCCCCCCCCCCCCCCCCCCCGAGTACACAGGGAGATTTTGATAGATTTCCCATTCTTACACAAATGGTGAATAAAGCATCAAAATTTATACCATAAATTATCTGTGATGTAATCATTAGATCAAATGGGGAGCTCTAAAAATATGTCATTTTGGTTTCCTCTTACTTATGTGGCCATGAACGAATAAATATAATATTTCATTACCTTAATTTTCCAGTAAATATAGATGTACGTACAAGCCGAGAACCAAGGGGACCACTTGCGGAAAGTGCAAGAAGCTACGAGACAACCACACACAGTCAGTACTACGGAGTGTGGTTTTGTGAAGAAACTGCAACGGAATCGAAGGAACAGTGGTTAAGGAGTCAAGAAGAGAGGAGACGAGCAAAGAAAGAAGAGAAGGCAGTAGCAGCAGCTAAGAAGATATAGACTATTTTTTAAAATTATAAACGTGACATCATTCAGCTGCAGTAGTGAAATTAGCAAGGACAAGAAAGTAATGCTGGAAATGTATTAAGAATCATGTGATTGGACCAGAAATAGGAAACAAGTGAAAGAAGATTGAACGGCTGTTTGTTTGTGATATATGAGACACACAGGGACCTCCCTGTCTGCACCTGAGAGACATAGGAAAGATAATCTTTCTGAGAAGCCCTCTTAAGGTACCTCGAGCGGGTTGTCAGGATGGTGCCGTTTGGAGTGACAGGGTAGGAACCCACCATGACGACAAGTATCACAAAGAAAATGAGGAGAGCAATGTTGATCTGGACTACAGCAGAGTCAACAAGCTCTGGTACTATCCTCCCCAAACTAAAGAGAGTGAATATATGGCAGTGGAGTGAGGAGGCAAAGAGAGTGAAGATATGGCAGTGGAGTGAGGCAAACACATGCAAGAAGTACATATCTGGAGCAAAGAGTGAGGAGGCAAAGAGAGCGAAGATATGGCAGTGAAGGGAGTGAGGAGGCAAAGAGAGTGGAGATATGGCAGTGGAGGGAGGGAGGAGGCAAAGAGAGTGGAGATATGGCAGTGGAGGGAGGGAGGAGGCAAAGAGAGTGGAGATATGGCAGTGGAGGGAGGGAGGAGGCAAAGAGAGTGGAGATATGGCAGTGGAGGGAGGGAGGAGGCAAAGAGAGTGGAGATATGGCAGTGGAGGGAGGGAGGAGGCAAAGAGAGTGGAGATATGGCAGTGGAGGGAGTGAGGAGGCAAAGAGAGTGGAGATATGGCAGTGGAGGGAGGGAGGAGGCAAAGAGAGTGGAGATATGGCAGTGGAGGGAGGGAGGAGGCAAAGAGAGTGGAGATATGGCAGTGGAGGGAGGGAGGAGGCAAAGAGAGTGGAGATATGGCAGTGGAGGGAGTGAGGAGGCAAAGAGAGTGAAGATATGGCAGTGGAGGGAGTGAGGAGGCAAAGAGAGTGGAGATATGGCAGTGGAGTCAGGCAAAGAGAGTGGAGTGAGGAGGACCTCCAAAGATGGCGCAGTATTAGTGGAGTGAGGAGGACCTCAGGCTCCTCACGCAATCTTGACAAACTTCAACATGCTCAGAATGCAGCTGTTAGGGTTTTATCAGGGACATCTAAATATGATCACATTTCTCCTGCTCTCAAAAAGCTGCACTGGTTGCCAATCCGCAAGCGCATAGAATTCAAAATCCTTCTCCTCACATGGAAGGCTGTAAACGGATTAGCACCAAACTATTTACAAAACCTGGTTATGCCTTATACACCAGCGCGTAGTCTAAGATCATCACACCAGCATCTTCTTAAGATCCCAAAGACATGAGTAGCCTGTGGTGATAAAGGGCTTTTTCATCTGCAGCACCTTGTCTTTGGAATAATTTACCATTTAATTTGAGAATTATAACTTCCTTAGAGACTTTAAATCCAAGCTGAAATCTTATCTTTTCTAACAATACCTGTACTTGGCACTATGACTCTCATCTGATCTTTCTCGTCCAAACTTTCTCATTCTTTCTATTGTTCTTGTGCGCCTCGGAATAGCATTGTCTAGATAGACGGCGCTATAAAAATGCCTATTATTATTATTATTACTTGTAGAACAGCACATCTTGACCACGATGTTCAACATTTTTTAAACATTTCTAATCTACAGTTACAAATATTTAATGCCAAAAGGCAATAACCGTGTCAATTACAGTACACAAATATTACACATGAACTATACAGTCTAATGTTTTAAACACTTTTTGTAAGATAATGTCAACAGAATAATTCCTTCTCATCAAATTGAAAAATGATACTTCTCTGATAGCTTAAAGCTATATAAAGCTTGAAGGATATGATATATGATTACATATATATTTATTAAGAATTGACAGTCGTCGCCTTGGTGATGGTGTGATCCCTCATGGTGTTGGGAATGCTCTGCTCTGCGTTCTGCATTGAAGAAATGAAAAGAACATGGATGGTTTAAAGACCGTCACCACTACTGGGCAAGAAGGGATTAGACCACACAGCGAGCCGTCGAGGTCACTGTGACAGGTGGCTATCTCATTAACTCAGCTCTCATTTAACATAAGAAAAAGAGGATCATGGGGGACCAACAGGCACCGATTGGGGAAGTTTTCTATATAGAGGGAGCAAGTAGCTACAAGTATGGCAGTGTACCTTTAAAGGTCACAAGTATTGACAACATTTCACACAAGTCAAAAACTCTAGGATACAATCGAGCGCTCTTAATTTCTCTCTATCTCTCCCTTTATCTCTCTCTCTCTCTACTTTTCCCTCTGCCGTTCTCTATCTCTCCCTTTCTCTCTCTTTCTCTATCTATTTATCTATCCCTCAGTCCTTTTTTCTTCTTACTTTGTCTGTAATTTCACTCCTTACCTCTCTACTTCACTTTCCTCCTCTTTCTTATAATTGTGGAATAGATTGTTTACCTTTATTAAGTTATTAACTTTATTAATTTTCTGAAATTTAAATCATAAAAACCATCACCATTAATTATATATATCAAGAATTGACAGTCGTCACCTTGGTGACGGTGGGATCCCTCATGGTGTTGGGGATGATCTGCTCTGCGTTCTGCATTGAAGAAATGAAAAGAACGAGGATGGTTTAAAGGTCACAAGTATTGACATTTCAAAAAAGTCACAAACTCTAGGATACAATGGAGCGCTCTTTATTTCTTTCTATCTCTCCCTTTATCTCTCTCTCTCTCTCTCTACTTTTCCCTCTGCCGTTCTCTCTCTATCTCTCTATCTCTACTTTTCCCGCTGCCGTTCTCTCATTATCTCTCCCTTTATCTCTCTTTCTCTATGTATCTATCTATTTATCTAGTTATTTACTTTATTAATTTCTGAAATTTAAATCACAAAAACCATTACCATTAATTATATATATTAAGAATTGACAGTCGTCGCCTTGGTGATGGTGTGATCCCTCATGGTGTTGGGGATGCTCTGCTCTGCATTCTGCATTGAAGAAATGAAAAAGAACAAGGATGGTTTAAAGGTCGCAAGTATTGACAACATTTCACACAAGTCACAAACTCTAGGGTACAATGAAGCGCTCTTTATTTCTTTCTATCTCTCCTTTTATCTCTCTCTCTCTCTCTCTACTTTTCCCTCTGCCGTTCTCTCTCTATCTCTCCCTTATCTCTCTCTACTTTTCCCTCTGCCGTTCTCTCTTCTTACTTTGTCTGTAATTTCACTCCTTACCTCTCTACTTTACTTTACTCGTCTTTCTTATAATTAAGAATTGAAAGTCGTCGCCTTGATGATGTGATCCCTCGTGGTGTTGGGGAGGCTCTGCGTTCTACATTGTTGAAGAAATGAAAAGAACAAGGATGGTTTAAAGGTCACAAGTATTGACAACATTTCAAAAAAGTCACAAACTCTAGGATACAATGGAGCGCTCTTTTTTTCTATCTCTCCCTTTATCTCTCTCTCTCTCTCTCTACTTTTCCCTCTGTTGTTCTCTCTCTATCTCTCTATCTCTACTTTTCCCTCTGCCATTCTCTCTTTATCTCTCCCTTTATCTCTCTTTCTCTCTCTCTCTTTCTCTATCTATCTATCTATTTATCTATCCCTCAGTCCTTTCTTTCTCCTTACTTTGTCTGTAATTTCACTCTTTACCTCTCTACTTCATTTTCCTCCTCTTTCTTATAATTGTGGAATAGATTGTTTACCTTTATTAAGTTATTAACTTTATTAATTGTCTGAAGTTTAAATCATAAAAACCATTAGGCCTACCATTAATTATATATATTAAGAATTGACAGTCGTCACCTTGGTGACGGTGGGATCCCTCATGGTGTTGGGGATGATCTGCTCTGCGTTCTGCATTGAAGAAATGAAAAGAACAAGGATGGTTTAAAGGTCACAAGTATTGACAACATTTCAAAAAAGTCACAAACTCTAGGATACAATGGAGCGCTCTTTATTTTTCTCTATCTCTCCCTTTATCTCTCTCTCTCTATCTACTTTTCCCTCTACCGTTCTCTCTTTATATATATATATATCTCTCTCTCTCTCTCTTTCTCTATTTATCTATCTATTTATCTTTCCCTCAGTCCATTTTTCTTATTACTTTGTCTGTAATTTCACTCCTTACCTCTCTACTTTACTTTACTCCTCTTTCTTATAATTAAGAATTGACAGTCGTCGCCTTGATGATGTGATCCCTCCCTGTATTTGGGAGGCTCTGCATTCTGCATTGATGAAGAAATGAAAAGAACAAGGATGGTTTAAAGCTGCACAAACTCTAGGATACCATGGAGCGCTCTTTAAAGGGACACTGCATGCATACCACCACCTATGATTACACTCACCTTTCGTATTGCCATTAGTGAAGTACATGGTGAGTTTGGCTTTGGAGGGGTCTGTTAACACTGCACAGTGAGGGATGACCAACTTTAAAGGCTTCTCAAACGTGGTCCCTGAAGGTTCACACACTACACCAGGGGAGACGATAGCTTCATT